GTTTGACAGGGGATGTGGGTTGCCGAGTCTCCAGAGTAGAGACATCTTCTTTGCTATCCGTTTGCGCTGGCGGAGAAGTAGGTATGGATATCGTATCACTAGTCATCGCGGATACACTGTCCAGAGTCGCACTTCCGTTTTCTTTTACTTTGGCTGACACGGCAGGTGGCTGACGTTTAGTTTCAATCACTTGGGTTGATGCTCTGCGAGCTCTGGATGCACCTCCATTTGCTGGAGCATCATCCCGATTGTTCCAAAACCCAGAAAGAATGTTCCCCCATTTACTCTGATGCTGGTCAACGTTGGCCGATATCTCGCTTTTCTGCAAATTTAGTAGCAAGTTTGCAGAAGCAGACCCTTTGCAATCTTGCGATTCATGGCGGGCTCTATACTGTTTCCTTGGCTGGGAAGCAAAGTGTGGGACTGGAGTTGCAGTGCCTGGTGCAGCCATTGCTGCTGATGCCGTGCCACTTTTCATTGGTCCAGCAACGCCTCCAGGTGGGATAGATAAACTTGAAGTCCTCATAGATCGGGCATCAGAGCCACGTCGTGCTTGATTTATAGGAGATTTGCTAAACTCCGGCTCATCAGGTACTATGTTAGACGTTTCATTGGAAGACACACTAGCAGATCGTTTGCCTGCACCACGCTCATGAGGGAACTGACGTGTTCGAGCACGACGGTTTATAGTTCGGCGCAGCGATTCTTGTCGAATTATGGTTGGATTTGGAGGACTTTGAGATGTTTGGCGGAAGGATGTTGACGTGCTTGGTCGTAAAGGTGAGGCCAGTGGATCCGTACGTTGCTGAGGTGGTAGGAACGCGGAGAGCACAAATATCAAGCGCCTTGCGGCCATTTTATCAGTCGAAATGATTACTGTTCTATTGCAGATGCTTAATTCACTGTCTTGTTGAGCCCGTTGTTGAAGAAAGTGGCGTCGTCGATACCAGTCGGGGCCAAGTAGGCTGAGCCATTCTGTGTGGTTACCGAGAAAGGCGGTTATGAGGACTAAGAAGAAAAAATTGTGCTCTTTCTCACTTAAGCTCCGGGCAATCCACCGGGCCTCTTCCCTCCAGACACCCCAGCGGCTCTGACCCGAGACAACAGGAGGTATCCTAAGAGCCATGCAGACCCTAGAAGTCGCATGGAGAGCTTCATCCCGGAGTAATATGTTCTGAGCCAGACAGTTAGGTATGAGTTGTACAATTGTTTGGTTAGTTCTCTGCATATTTGGCCCTTTTGCTGGTTTTGGCAAATTCGTTGTCTGCTGAACAGTTTGTTTTAAAAGTTCCAAAATCTCTTTACTTGCAAGTTTCTCGAGACGTGATAATGTTCGTGCAATGACATCCCAATAGTCCACGAGTAAGTCTATCCTGTCATCTATGCTCGACCCAGTAGTCGATATGGATGCCTCGTCGAACAAAGACCACTTTGGATGAGAGTCAAGGGAAACCGACATTCCACCGCAAGGTTTGGCTGGATCTTGGAGATAAGAATTTCGTTGCTGACGAACGCTATTCTTTGCTGTTACGGGGAGCCGGACTGTTATTGCAACAGCATACATTGGAGTCTTCTTCTCTTTGATCTTTTTAGACTTGGCACGAGGGGAAAATTTGAATTCCGGAGCGTAAGGCGACGATGGAGTTGCTGAATTAGGCATTGGAGTGTCGGCTGGCATGCCGTATGATTCCGGTAAATTGACACTGAACATTCTTGTCACCAATACTGTCACGCTTGAAGAAGAAGATGCAGAAGAAGATCTAGCGGCATCACTGCTGAATCGTTCACGAGTCTGGCTGGCACTCCTCGGGGAGCCACTAAATGTATCCGCACGACGAAGGGTGCGCCGGTAGGGGTCAGAAAGAGCAGGTTTGGAATCATCGGCGGGTTTCTTCTCGTCTGCTGGGACAATATGCATTTTGGTCGAAGGCCCACGATAGCTAAACGCGCTGCTTCCAAATATGCAATTCAATAATCCAAGTTCATTAGAGTCCCCAGATAGACGCCCATGCTGCTGGTCATCATCTCCAGCAGAGTCAGAGAACGTGGACCTCCGATTTCGTGCACGGAAAAAAGCACTATTAGCCGTGGCATCTTGGTTAGAGAAACTCGACAGTGGAGGAAGATCCGAGACCGAGGCACGCGATGCATGATGAGAAGGCCGCCCATCATTCCGAGGGAGCGTTGAGTTGCGGGTGTGTCGTGACCGTGGCTTTTCCGGCGAAATACGGTCTAGAGACGGTCGTGTGGACTTTTCGGTCTTTAGAGGCGCCTGAGTATCGAGAAGAATGCACGGATCGTCACGGTCCCCTATGGCATTTTGCGCAATAATCACTCTTAGATCCTTCGTAGAATCAAGTTCCAAGCCACCGTTATCATCAAAGCTACCAGCTGAAAATGGGCTAGGTGAAACAGAGCTGGTCTGCAACGGGTAAGCATGAGTCCTAGATCGCTGAAGAAGGCTCACGTCTGGGAAGAGGAGTCCTGAGGTGTGTTCCTCTTCGGTCACGGACTCGAGCTGGTTCGAGTTGCGGTTAGCATATGACGCGGGGTTGAGCGTTGCGGCAGCGGTATTAAGCAGTCTGCCCAACATCTTCGTAGGCGAGTTTGTTGATAAATTGATAGCGACTCTCAACGGGGGTCGAAACGGCAGTGTCCTCTTCTAGTAGGCGGCAAAGAGGACGAAACGAAGAAAAGTTCTATAAGGCTGCCTCACGCGAAAATTCATGGCTTCAGGTTCGATGTATCGACAATGCCAGTCACTCAAGCGAGACGCAGATAAACGATGGGATTGGGGTTGACGTTACGTCGGCAAGACACAGGTGGCCTCACCCTTCAGCAAACAAACAAGAGGAAAGAGACTCCCGAGTACCTCGGTAGCTCTTCAGAAAAGCGAGTCCGAAACGCCTGTCTCCCTCTTGATATCAGTCAGACCGCAGGAGAAGCGTTTTGTGCGATGGATATGGAGGGGACGCGGAAAATCCGATGTCGTTCGCAGAAGCGACGCTTTCGACGCTTTGAGCCAAGTTGGAAGACCCGCGGGCTGGCCAAGAGGCGGTGAGGAAACACCTTAAAAGGACATCTTCCTGCTTGGTACAGCGGAGCCGCAGCGCTAGCCGGATACGGTTTAGTGTCGAAAGTAAGCTCCTACCGATTGGCTGGATGGTTCACGCTAGCTGCTTTCGGGCGAGTCTCGGAACGTCAGCGGGCACTTGCGCGGTGCTGGTTGGCTGTTTGGCCGGCGCTCGAGCCCGTATGTGGTTTAGCGCGCGTGCTTTTTCGCTGCGCCCTTCATGCTGCCCACGATAAGCTTCTGATTATATAATAGCTGTCCTCCTTGCTCATGCTCGATGAGATCATTTCATCCCCAGCCCTAGCAAGAAACACCCTGCAGCTAGGGACTCTGCATATTTGCCGGTCACAGTGGTGTTATGGCAAATTATGAACCATCGACTGTATTCACTTTCCCTAACTCTCCGGCTAATAAGGCAAAAAAATTAAGAACAGCATCCATTTATGCTTTTTACTTCTATCACATCATGTTCTTGTTAGGCGACTACTTAAACAAGCTACCATTAGCTATCTTAAATTATCTTTCCCTCGATATTGTCAGGACAGTCATGGTGGTTACAATCTCACTCTCTTTCGCTAAAAAAAGTTATTTGTCCTGTACTCAGGCTCTATTTTCGCAGAGATGTATCTCCCGGTCTCTTTTCAACAAGCCTTAGCCGCCCTATATCTATTACTATTTCAGCGGTCCTGCACAAAACCAGTTAGCTTTACTATTTAACATCAGAAGAACGTCCTGATGCCTAGTAAATTCAAAGGGTAACTTCATTTCCTCCAGCATTGTAGCCGATCATAACTTGAGAGCGGGGAAATACTACCTCAAAAATAACCAGGCTCAATAAACACCAATTGACGAACTACTTTGTAGAAGGTATCCATCAAACTATCTCTTTATTATTATCTGTATACTTAGTGATTCAACCCGCGAAGCTAATTATTTATATAATACATTAAAACCTTAAGAAGTTTGAGCCCGTAAATTCTTCAATCCACTTGCAGATACTAACCATTCACGCGTAGATAATCGGAGAAATTAGGGAGAGAACATTTTTGATAATAACAATTCGAATTTCTCTACCCGGATACACCAGTGGGTTAAAGCCACTGTTCCCTAATACCCCGGATGCCTGACCGGATAACAGTACTGCTGGGCTCTTATCTCCAAGGTCTTGCTTCTTGGATGGAAGATAAAATCATTTCAGGCCTTCATTTCCGACATAAAGAATAAGCGATCATTGTATCAAAAGCTGTTCCTGCAGCTAAGACAAGTTTTTGCAGCAATACGAAAACTGCTGTATGCTGCCTGCAGAACCATTAGAGAGACTCGGGACATCAAAGTCCCCTTAATGGTCAACTAGAAATAAATCCAACTTTTCGCTCTTATTCTCACAAACCACTTCTGACCTATGCTAACGTCTGATCATCAAGACTTATTTAAACACGACAACAATCTTAAAGTGCTTTAAGTCTTCAAATCTACGGCACTATTTGCAAACAATCTAAAGAATCCGAAGAGGTCTGTTGCTCTTGATTGACACACCCCGGGTCGGTCGCATGGAGGGGACATTAGGGGCCTGGGTGGAAGAAAGAGCGAAAGGGCCTAAATTAGCTATTAAATGGCTCTCATGCACTGTTAGATATGGATAGCATACGTCGACTCTAGATATGAGCATGTTGGGCTTCCCTTTATCTTTGGCTGTCATGACCTTAAACTTCCTGATGTTACCACCTCCGCCAATGATTACATTGATAAGCGTTTCGCGATTGGTTGGGTGAGCCTGGGGAAATGTATCAATGATGGTCGGATAGCCTCCCCTAGAGGACGATGTATCACAGTTATGGGGAACATATTTAGAGTCGAATGGGAAGAAGTTGAGTGAAAGAAATTAATAATTAATAAACAACATTTGATTTTAACGCTATTTTAATGAAAATTTGGTCGTAACTGAGGTCTGGGGTATAAGGACTGCTTGGATCGTTGATAAAATCGGCTTATAGTCGCTAACATCGAAAAGGAACTAGATGATACACAGGACCCACTTGGATTTCAAGCCGCATATCTGATTGGTGAATTATTTCCAGTTAAGCCTTTTTAAGGTTGTTCCCAGCTGGGTCACGTGTAAATAAGCTTAAGTCCATCTTCAAATCTTCTCGAACAAGCATATTGCTTCATATATCCACAAAGTCATACTTCATGGGGACGCGAGATATCATAGCATCTCAACGCTTCATGATGGTATTTCGCAGATTAGTGGGAAGTAGATAGCTATTTCTCACGATATCCATTCCAAATGGCTAGCTCAAGGCAACCTGCTAGATATCCTGGTATCAAAACCCTTCACTCTGTATTACTAGGTATTAGTTACCGCCGTTTATACATTTGTCCAAATGGAGCTGTCTTCCTTTACAGATACCAGTCTCAACTGGAATGTTCTGCCGCCCGCTTGATGGAAGACCTCGATATCTGCGGTACCTCATCATTTAGTGCCTGGCTAGCTAATGGCTAAAATAAGGGTATAAAAGGGCGTTCTTCCGCCCTTTCTCTTAATTTCTTCTTCTTCTTCTTACTTCATAATTGTCACGCGCCTGCTCCCGAAGGCTAACATCATATCCAACTACTTTAACTTGTTATCAACCATAACAAACACCGGGCAATCTCGCTTATAGGATACTGATATCTTCCTCACTACCATACTGAATACCCATAACTTAGCCTTTAACGGCTCTTCCGGGTAGCTACAACTACATATTTCCTGTGAATAATCCCACCAATCGCGAAGGCTTGTGCCAGACTATTTACGATTCAATTTACTATTATCTCACTGATCTCTCACATTAATTGTGAAGATTGGCACTGAAGATACTTGTCACACTGGAATTTCTCGATTAATTCCTCTCTTTTTTCAACTTTTATAACTTGCCCCACTTCTGATTCTTGGAAGACTTCAGAATTTATTCACCATAATCAACCTCGACTTTTCTTTCCCCACTCCCAATTTTTCCATCTAGTGGGCCTTTTATACATCTCTTGGGGGTTAAAGTTGCCTCTGTGTGATAGTCACTTTCGCCTTCTGACAATATACACCACTAGGCTCTGCTTCCTTATCTCCTTAAGAGAATAACTACACATCTACCCCCAGTCACACTCTAGCGTCCCGCTTTCAACGTCTCAGCCATGGATATGAACGCTCCTGAAAACAATGTCTATAACGAGGACATTGTCTTTAATAAAGACTTTGAGCTTTTGACCCCTCTTTTCCAGTCCGATGCTTCATTTGCAGCCGGAGGAAATCAAGTAATGGGAGACATATCTCCTGTCTCAAAGCCAACGGACGTCACGGACTCGGTAGCCTCGTCTCTTACGCGGGCATCTGACAATTATGTTGCGAAATATAGTAATTTAGAGAATGGGGGAAAAGGTGAAGATCCCAAAAATTGCTCTGGCGATATGCCTCCCTCTCAATTTTCCGACATGATGTGGGTAGAGCTAGAGAAGGAATTGGACAGTAGCGAACTGGACGAACATTCGGAGTAAGTATAACCATGGCCTGCCGTATTAACAGACCTTCTGATTTGCTTAATAAAATAAAGAAAAACCAAGTTCGAAGAGGCAAAGGCAGCATTTGAAGCAGAAATGAATCCCAGCCTAGAAGCTCAAATTCGATTTGAGAAGGCAAAAGAAAAAGAATGCTTGCGGCTTTCGAGAGTACAACTGCGAGAAGCATTAATTCAACAAGAGCGCAATATACAGCATGGTTGTATTAATGGTAATGAGACTGAGGATGTCAGGATTTCAATGGCTCAAGGAGGCGAAAACCAGAAACCTGGTAAAGAAAATGACTTTGACCTTTTTTATCCTGAAAATAATGCAGCTCCTGCGGAAGAATTACATCGGTGTACATCTCCCAGTAATGAGGAGAGTATACCAGTGTTTGTATGGGAACGCACTCAAACGTCGAAAGAGTCGACTAAACCAAAGAACCGGTCACGTCAAAATAGAGTATCAAAAAAGGTAAGGAAAACAAATGACAAAGTCAAGGAGACAAAGAAGGTAATTTTAACATCATAACAAATTTTTTATGATATGGACAAATCTAATGGTGATCAAAGCGCAATAATACCCCAAGGCGCAATTCAAATAAGTCTATCAAATTCAAAAAAAATTCTACAAACAGAGGACCTACGAGTCTCAACTTTGACAGCTTATTTACTTCCAACATTATTGAGAATGCAAAGCGGAATACCAAGAAGATGGCAATACCAGAGTCTACGTCAAGAAATAAAAAGAAGGCAATGAGAGAAATCATGGCCAGTATTCCAACTGACGATGACATTGATATGCGAAGCATGTCCCAACATAAAAAGGCCATCATGAATTCGGTAATGAAATTCACAAAACGTCCTCGGGTTGACAATAAGGGCGGCTGGAAGCATATTAACATGACGACAAGTCTATTCCATTATCAGGTATACCCCAAAACCTGACGTCCAATATTTAATAACTTAGCTAACATTATCAAAGCTTCTTGGGGTTGGATTCATGGTAGTTCCTCCATTATATCATGCTTCAACACAAATACTAACAAACATAGCGTGACCGTGAAAACTCATCTGCTGCCCCCAAGGGTGGCTTCCTATGTGACGAGATGGGCTTTGGTAAAACAATACAGGCAATCGGTTAGTCTTGATGATACTTCCTTTCTCAATACATACGCATTAACTTCTCTCAATAGCAAATATGGTGGACGGAAAGGCAGTCGGAGACAGAAAAGAACCGACAATTACATTGATAGTTGCGCCAACGCATTTGATTGAGCATTGGTACACTAGATTCCTAATATGAAAGCTCCGCCAGACACTCTACTTACAAGCAACGCAGGAAAGATGAGATACTAAAACACGTTAAAAAAGGTGTGCTGGGATATATCTTTGTTTACCACGGAGCTCAGAAGCTAGATTTGAAACTTGCCATAGAGTCGGGAGGAACCCAAGGAATGGGGGTTATGTAAGTTTCTTATGCAGCGAGCTACTTTTTTTCTTTTTTTTTTTTTAGCAGTCTAGTAATACTGGATGTTGGTAGAATCACGACTTACTCCGAAATAAGAGCTTCTTGTCGATTTCCAATCCCCGACTTTTCTAACAAGGAAGACGAAACAAAATGGAAATTATATAACTGCGGTTTCCTACATAATTTCAAGTTTCGGCGCATCTATCTGGACGGTAGGTAAACCTCTCTTACAATGTCCAGCAAGAAGTAAGATTAACATTCAATAGAAGCACACGAGATCAAAAACTACAATTCCAAAGCTAGCCAGGCGGTCAGACTTCTGACTGCGAAATTCCGTTGGGTGATAACCGGCACTCCTATTCACAAGTAAAGGCGCTGTTCCAATTGAAATATTTTCCATCAACTAACACGAGATAATTCCCTGTCTTTGTACCAGTGATGTCACGGAATTCTACTCCTATTTCAATTTTTTGAAGGTCCCAGCACTAGAAAATTATTACGTATTCCTTGACAAAATCGTGAAAGTATGAGCCTCATGATATCTTATTTCATACCCTTATGGCTAATCAATCTTTCTATAGCATGATCCCGATCATCATAGGCTTCTTAATTGTCTTCGTGCATATATGTTGCGCCGAACTCATGCAGAAACTCTATTTGGGCGTCCTATCCTCAAGCTTCCCGACATTGATGAAAACACGATAGTTGTTCAATTTTCTATTGTGGAGAAAGCCCTATACCAAAAAATGATTGGGAGCTTCTTAGATGAACATCTTAGTTAGCCATCATCCATTTTTACCTTCCATATGGTCAATAGGAAATCTAACTCTGCATAGACACCATGCGCACCATTGACGGAATTGACAACTATCTCACCCTTCTGCTTTACCTGCGAATGTTTACTTCCCATCTACTATTACCTCAAGATGTAATAAAGCAGATATTAACTCCACGATTCATGCAAGAAATTGAGCCTGAAATAAAACAGAGCTCTAATATTAAGGAGATTGAGATGTTCAATTCACTTCAGGTGTCGTGGTTCGAGAACCCACCGAAACCTCTAGGTCGCTTGGGAAAAGAAGCGTCGGACGCCGGAATCTCAAAATTGTTTGAATCCGTGATGGACGGCTCAAAAGGAGCCGCAAAAATCATGGATTGCATTGAATGCAATCAGAGACAAGAATCAGCTTTCGTATTGTCGTGTATGCACCTCTGTTGTTTCAAGTGCATACCAAAGTTACCACAAGTTGGAGATAAACAAATTACGTGCCGTTGTGGCTTGACTGTAACCTACGAACTATACCTTGATCTCCAAAAATCCTGCCGTAGCAAGGCAATACGGAGGGCAAGAGGCTCGAAGTCTCGATGCATCGACGAATTCGAACAGGATAAGGGAACTCCAACTATTAGCGAAACGGTACTGAGCGCGAAGCTAAGGGCTGTGAAAGTGTTCATTTCTAAATGGCTCAAGGAGTCACCAGATATTAAAATCACAATATTCACACAGTTTCTAGGAATGATTAGTGCCATATCCTCGGTATGTGAGGCTGAAGGTTGGAGATACACCACGGTATGAATGTTCTAATTGGCTTTTTTTTTTACCGCCTTGTATCAGTGTGCTCACTGTTGCCGACAGCTTTGTGGAAAACTGCACCATAGAACTAGACATGCAAACATCAAAAGATTCCGCGAGGAGAACGTTAGCATCTTGATTTCCTCGCTGAAAGCAGGGGGTGTGGGCCTCGACCTGACTATGGCTAGCAAATGTATCCTCGTTGATTTATGGTGGAACGAGGCAATTGAGCAACAAGTAAGGAGCTCCTATTCTGCACTAATTGGTTCGAAATCTCCTGAATATGTTAGGCATTTTGCCGCCTATTCCGCATAGGCCAAAAAAATGACGTAGAGATCGTTCGAATATGTGTTGAGAACACGGTCGACGACCGCCTCCAACTTATTCAAAGTCGGAAATCTGAACATATAAAGAAGGCTATGGGGTC